AGCAACTGACATGGATATGATGTGGATGTAGCAACTGATGCAGATATGATGTGGATGTAGCAACTGACATGGATATGATGTGGATGTAGTAACTGACATGGATATGATGTGGATGTAGCAACTGGAGGTGGATATGATGTGGATGTAGCAACTGACATGGATATGATGTGGATGTAGTAACTGACATGGATATGATGTGGATGTAGCAACTGACATGGATATGATGTGGATGTAGCAACTGATGCAGATATGATGTGGATGTAGCAACTGACATGGATATGATGTGGATGTAGTAACTGACATGGATATGATGTGGATGTAGCAACTGGAGGTGGATATGATGTGGATGTAGCAACTGAGGTGGATATGATGTGGATGTAGTAACTGACGCAGATATGATGTGGATGTAGTAACTGACGCAGATATGATGTGGATGTAGCAACTGATGCAGATATGATGTGGATGTAGCAACTGACATGGATATGATGTGGATGTAGTAACTGACATGGATATAATGTGGATGTAGCAACTGACGCAGATATGATGTGGATGTAGTAACTGACGCAGATATGATGTGGATGTAGCAACTGGAGGTGGATATGATGTGGATGTAGTAACTGACGCATATATGATGTGGATGTAGCAACTGACGCAGATATGATGTGGATGTAGCAACTGATGCAGATATGATGTGGATGTAGCAACTGACGCAGATATGATGTGGATGTAGTAACTGACATGGATATGATGTGGATGTAGCAACTGGAGGTGGATATGATGTGGATGTAGCAACTGACGCAGATATGATGTGGATGTAGCAACTGACATGGATATGATGTGGATGTAGTAACTGATGCAGATATGATGTGGATGTAGCAACTGACGCAGATATGATGTGGATGTAGTAACTGACATGGATATGATGTGGATGTAGCAACTGACGCAGATATGCTGTGGATGTAGCAACTGACATGGATATGATGTGGATGTAGCAACTGATACCTAAGTGATGGCTTTGGTTAAAAAAGTAAAGTGGTATAGCAAGGCTGTAAAATGCAAGAAGAAAACGGTAGAAATACCTGCTGAATTATGAGTAAATAAAAAGATACAATTTGAAAGACATTATTTTAGTTTCACGCTTGTGGTTTTTTTTTTGAGATGTGTGAGAAGAAATGTTTTTCTACTAAACAATTAGATCTAGATCTATCAAGAGTGTTCTGTTTTTAAACATCTTGTCTTGATTTATTTTAGATTTAAAAAAACAACTTTTAGAAACATTTAATTCTAAATAGCTACTATGACCGCAGTACCGGCACCAGGTTATTTAGCACCCTAGGCAAAACTTATTAAAATGCGCACACCCCCCCCCTTTCGTAATGTATGGAAAAAACCACACATTACTGACCCGACCCATCACAAGACATACACCACACATTACTGACCCATCACAAGACATACACCACACATTACTGACCCATCACAAGACATACACCACACATTACTGACCCATCACAAGACATACACCACATATTACTGACCCATCACAAGACATACACCACATATTACTGACCTGTCACAAGATGTACACCACATATTACTGACCCATCACAAGACATACACCACACATTACTGACCCATCACAAGACATACACCACACATTACTGACCCATCACAAGACATACACCACACATTACTGACCCATCACAAGACATACACCACACATAACTGACCCGACCCATCACAAGACATACACCACATATTACTGACCCATCACAAGACACACCAAACATTACTGACCCATCACAAGACATACACCACACATTACTGACCCATCACAAGACATACACCACACATTACTGACCCATCACAAGACATACACCACACATAACTGACCCGACCCATCACAAGACATACACAACACATTACTGACCCATCACAAGACATACACCACACATTACTGACCCATCACAAGACATACACCACACATTACTGACCCATCACAAGACATACACCACACATTACTGACCCATCACAAGACATACACCACACATTACTGACCCATCACAAGACATACACCACTCATAACTGACCCGACCCATCACAAGACATACACCACATATTACTGACCCATCACAAGACATACACCACACATTACTGACCCATCACAAGACATACACCACACATTACTGACCCATCACAAGACATACACCACATATTACTGACCCATCACAAGACATACACCACACATTACTGACCCATCACAAGACATACACCACACATTACTGACCCATCACAAGACATACACCACACATAACTGACCCGACCCATCACAAGACATACACCATATATTACTGACCCATCACAAGACATACACCACACATTACTGACCCATCACAAGACATACACCATATATTACTGACCCATCACAAGACATACACCACATATTACTGACCCATCACAAGACATACACCATATATTACTGACCCATCACAAGACATACACCACACATTACTGACCCATCACAAGACATACACCATATATTACTGACCCATCACAAGACATACACCACACATTACTGACCCATCACAAGACATACACCACACATTACTGACCCATCACAAGACATACACCACATATTACTGACCCATCACAAGACATACACCACACATTACTGACCCATCACAAGACATACACACCACACATTACTGACCCATCACAAGACATACACCACATATTACTGACCCATCACAAGACATACACACCACACATTACTGACCCATCACAAGACATACACCATATATTACTGACCCATCACAAGACATACACCACACATTACTGACCCATCACAAGACATACACCATATATTACTGACCCATCACAAGACATACACCACACATTACTGACCCATCACAAGACATAAACCACATATTACTGACCTGTCACAAGATGTACACCACATATTACTGACCCATCACAAGACATACACCACACATTACTGACCCATCACAAGACATACACCATATATTACTGACCCATCACAAGACATACACCACACATTACTGACCCATCACAAGACATACACCACACATTACTGACCCATCACAAGACATACACCACATATTACTGACCCATCACAAGACATACACCACACATTACTGACCCATCACAAGACATACACACCACACATTACTGACCCATCACAAGACATACACCACATATTACTGACCCATCACAAGACATACACACCACACATTACTGACCCATCACAAGACATACACCATATATTACTGACCCATCACAAGACATACACCACACATTACTGACCCATCACAAGACATACACCATATATTACTGACCCATCACAAGACATACACCACACATTACTGACCCATCACAAGACATACACCACACATTACTGACCCATCACAAGACATACACCACACATTACTGACCCATCACAAGACATACACCACACATAACTGACCCGACCCATCACAAGACATACACCACATATTACTGACCCATCACAAGACACACCAAACATTACTGACCCATCACAAGACATACACCACACATTACTGACCCATCACAAGACATACACCACACATTACTGACCCATCACAAGACATACACCACACATAACTGACCCGACCCATCACAAGACATACACAACACATTACTGACCCATCACAAGACATACACCACACATTACTGACCCATCACAAGACATACACCACACATTACTGACCCATCACAAGACATACACCACACATTACTGACCCATCACAAGACATACACCACACATTACTGACCCATCACAAGACATACACCACTCATAACTGACCCGACCCATCACAAGACATACACCACATATTACTGACCCATCACAAGACATACACCACACATTACTGACCCATCACAAGACATACACCACACATTACTGACCCATCACAAGACATACACCACATATTACTGACCCATCACAAGACATACACCACACATTACTGACCCATCACAAGACATACACCACACATTACTGACCCATCACAAGACATACACCACACATAACTGACCCGACCCATCACAAGACATACACCATATATTACTGACCCATCACAAGACATACACCACACATTACTGACCCATCACAAGACATACACCATATATTACTGACCCATCACAAGACATACACCACATATTACTGACCCATCACAAGACATACACCATATATTACTGACCCATCACAAGACATACACCACACATTACTGACCCATCACAAGACATACACCATATATTACTGACCCATCACAAGACATACACCACACATTACTGACCCATCACAAGACATACACCACACATTACTGACCCATCACAAGACATACACCACATATTACTGACCCATCACAAGACATACACCACACATTACTGACCCATCACAAGACATACACACCACACATTACTGACCCATCACAAGACATACACCACATATTACTGACCCATCACAAGACATACACACCACACATTACTGACCCATCACAAGACATACACCATATATTACTGACCCATCACAAGACATACACCACACATTACTGACCCATCACAAGACATACACCATATATTACTGACCCATCACAAGACATACACCACACATTACTGACCCATCACAAGACATACACCACATATTACTGACCTGTCACAAGATGTACACCACATATTACTGACCCATCACAAGACATACACCACACATTACTGACCCATCACAAGACATACACCACATATTACTGACCTGTCACAAGATGTACACCACACATTATTTTTCTCATCCTTGTGACTACAATTCTGTTTACAGGGTCCAGATGCTCCAATAGCTCTCCGCATATTCTTGTGCATTTGTGAAATCTGAGTGTGGACATACTTGGCTAAAACTTGAGAAGTCTCTCTGATTGCCATGCTTGCATACAACCAATTGCGCATCTCTGGATCACTGACTTCTGTCTGTAGTATTTCTTGTCTAGATGTCAGCTGACCCATTTACACCAAATTTCTATGGTACAAAAAAATAAACATTTTGGCATTTGTTGCAGGCTTATTAGTTGGTTAGATTAGATTAGTTTCAACGTATATGTAATCCTAAGGGTTATTTGTCATTTTTACAAGTTTAAACTTTGAAGTTCATTGCCATATAAAAGAAGTTTTAGAGAAAGAAAACAAATTTGATCTTAATTTATCTAGCATTAGCAGCAACAAATTTGTTTGTGAAAATCAGAAATGTCATCTCATACGAGGAGAAAAGTCACATGACTATTTCTCAAAACATAATTGGCAGTTGGTTCGTTGATGGCATGAAAGAAATAGTCTTAGTAGGTACATAATAACAGAGTAAAATTATAGCAAAAACATGGTATTCAATATTGGTCATTTTCATGTCACAAAGTTAGACGCCATTTTAGATGACCAGACCTCTGCATAAGAATTTTTTTGAATGATCAGCACTTTGCCCAGCTGTCTTTTGTTTTCCCTGCCTCAAGTCACCTATAATTAGTACTCAGGTGAACCCCATGTGCTGAACTTTTGGGTTAATAATTGTGTGCACTAATGCTCGACTATCCTGTTCTATTGCACACTGCTATTTTAAACTTAAATTCGGTTATAAATGCTAACAAAATATACTATATTTATTTTTTTCATTAAATATAATTTTTAAAAACCATTAATTATTTTAAAATATGGCAATTTTAACAAATTACAATAAATGATAATCTAATTATCAGGCATTTCAAAACTTCAAATGCTAAAAGACATTATTAAGGAAAACCTGAATATATTTAGGGGGATTTTAGAATTGTCCATTTGAATCCAAGAATATAAAATAATATTGTGTGGAATATTTAGAACTGTCCATTTGAATCCCAGACACCACAATATAATTCTGACCACACCATCCCTTCACATGATGAGGTTAAGAAACATATGAACTCTACTTCATCTTCCCAATGGTTAGCTACTTTACATACCATGCTGATACTATAAAATCATGATGAGGATTTTTTACTTTCTCGTATATACGAAGTATAGAGAAAGTCTTGTAATCGTGCAAAAAAAAAATCGAGATTTTTACAAATCTCGATGTTTTACACCTCACTGATACGGAAAAACATAATTTTGCAATCTTGTCCGTATGTCTGTGTGTCTGTCTGTCCGTGTGTAGACACGATAACTTGAGTACCGTTACAGCTAGGTTGATGAAATTTCATATATAAGTATTTTATCAAAATCGTAGATCCGTATCAACTTTTGAGCGATTTCCGATAACCGGAAGTGGTACTTTTCCTACTTTGAATTTCTCAAAAGTCTATAACTTGAGTACTATTTCAGATAGATAAATGAAATTTCACATGTAAGTAAAAGATCTAATTCTCTACCTTCTGTTAAATTTTGAGTAATTTCCGTTGACTGGAAGTAGTACTTTACGCTACTTCCGATTTCTCAAAAAACTAATGTAAATTTTAAAAGTACTAATAATATTGCGCACTATTATGCGCTTTTTTATTTGGCGTTCACTTGGTGTGCAATTAATTTGTCTACGAGATTTTATTCTATTTTTAAAACTTTAAGTATTTAAAATGGATTAAAAATCATGTCTATAGCCCGAGTTCCCATTCCCTGTTATTTTATATAAGAATATTCGAGAAAGTTTAGGGGAGATCACTCCCGGTTTATTTTCAGTATAGAATCTATACAAGTTTGTGAGTTACTTTATTTACAAAACACAATTGCAGTTTTAAAAATATTTCTATGATTGTTTATCTGTGATAATTAATTGGGATTCAAGGTTAAGAAAACAAACTGCTGCAGTAAGACTTTTTATAACGATCTACCTACATCATTTATTTGTGCAATAGTAAACAATGCGAAGTCTCCAATGATCATCAGAAGGTGAGGGGGTGGTTTGTTATAGAGCTGCGTGTAGCGGAATAAAATATACTGAGAAAAGACACTAGGCCTATTAAACAATGCACAACTTCTAACCACAGTAGAATACAAAGACCTTCATGGCTTTTTCATATATATATATATATATATATATATATATATATATATATATATATATATATATATATATATATATATAATCAAATTACTCTTTTAGCTTTACTCTTCTGACAAAACTATCTGTGCCCTGTGGTCGAGCAGTTGAGCTTCGGGCAGGTCATAACGGCTAGAGTGTTTATGATATAATTGTAGAGAGTTTTATTCTATTAGTTACGTTTAAAATATTTGAATAGCCTATTTAAATCTACTATCTAAGTATTTATCGTGTTAATCCCTGTCTCATCAATCAAGACAACACATTGGCCTAGACAGCTAACATATAGATGACAAGAATAACCATCATATAGGCCTAGAGCAAATTGACAATTATAATTGACAATTATAGAGCTATGGTCATGCACATCTTTTTCCTGATAGATTCTATACATAATATATCTCAGGCTATAGCGTCAGAAATTAATTGGTAATGTTTGTTGAGTTTCGGTAACATTCTTTAATGTAAACCATAGTTTATTTGACCGTTTAAATAAAAATGGAGTCAAGTGCATTAAATTAATGTTTTAACTTAATTTAAAGTTTAATTGACAGAAAATTAGCAACAATCAGTTGAACTAAATGTTAATAAAGTCGAGTGTGGTAATTAATGTTTTTTTCTTTATAGAAACACAGAAAAAAACTTGCAGAAGATTTGCAACAACTGGATCTAGATCTAGAAAAATAAGATTTACTAAAGTTAAAAGTAGTAAGAAGAACTAGAACAATGTTTAGTAGCAGCCATAATTTGCACATACACTTAAAATAATTAGAAATACAAAATAATTAGCAAAACAGTATTTTAAATGCAATTAAAATAAATCCATGCACATCTTTAAACATTATGTAGGCCTATTTAAAATAATATGGCGCAAAATAAATGATAGTTGATATTTATTTCCGGTAGTTTCCGGAACGGCTTGACAGACTACGCCATGGTTTTACTGTTTTTTGCTACTGTACGATTCCGGAATAATAACCGATGCTATATTGTGATTTTACTTTTTATATATATATATATATATATATATATATATATATATATATATATATATATAGTAATGTATCATTACTATATATATATATATTACTATATATATATATATATATATATATATATATATATATATATATATAGTAATGTATCATTTAAGGTACGTAAAATTGGCAGAGACTAGTGGTGTAAAAAAGGTGACTCATTCAAAAAATTTTATTATTTCACATTTTTAGAAGGAGGATTTATGTTTTGAAAGTGACAAAAATGTTTCAACGTTTCATTAATGTACCTGTTTTTAAACAATTGTATTAAAACTTTTCAGTAAAAAATAAAGACTAGCAATGTTTTTATCAGATGCAACCAAGCTAATTTACTTTAGCAGCCCTCGCGTTTGAGTTGTTTTTTTTTTGGTAAAATTATAGTTAGAGATTTAGGGGAAACCACTCTAACTTACAGATGGTCGCTGTTTATATAATATAGCAAATCTTGCTTGCAAACACGATTCTGGTTTATTATTTAGTTATCTATAATATTTGACACAGATATATCACAATATGGGCCCTACTTCTATTAATTAAAGCCTTAACTATGAGGCAACTTTTTCGCACATAACTAGATCTAAATTCTAGATCTACTACTAGATTCTAGTAACTAGTACTAGATCTACTAGCCTAAACTACGCACCTAAAACTAAAACGTTAGATTAGTGATTAGATTACCCGGTAATCTATCGTTTTAGGTACGTAAAATCACCCGCGACTAGTTTTAATTCAATTGTTTAAAAACAGGTACATAAATGAAACAAGGAAACATTTTTGTATTTTTCAAAACATAAATCCTCCTCAAAATGTGAAATAATTATTAAAATTTAAGGAGTCACCTGTTTTTCACATTACTAGTCGTGGGCGATTTTACGTACCCAAAACGATAGATTACCAAGCCTTGACAATAAGGTAACTTTATCGTACATTACTAGCCGCGGGCGATTTTACGTACCTAAAACAACGATGATAGTTCAAGTTGTAATGAAATGTAAGTTGATAGATTACCGATTACCCAAATTTTAGACTTCTAATTTAGAATTTAGAGTCTACTAATTTGTTTATTAAAATATTAAATTAATTATTATTATTAAGTATTAAGTTATTTAATATTTATTATTTAAGGACGAATTCGATAGACTAGTGAAGTGAAGTGTACTGTGATGTAATTTTTTGTAAGGTAACCTGGTAATCTATCGTTTTGGGTACGTAAAATCGCCCGCGGCTATTAATGTACGAAAAAGTTACCTCATTGTCAAGGCTTTAGTAGAAGTATATTGTGATATATTTGTGTCAAATATTATAGATAAATGAATAATAAACCTAAATCAATGGCTAAATATATCAATATATGCCAGAAATTAACTTTAAACAGCAGTGTTTGCAAGCAAGATTTGCTATATAAACAGCAGCCATTTGTAAAATAGAGTGACTTCCGCCTGTCTCGCGCTATATCCGCTATAAAAAAAAACTTAAACAAGATGGCTGCTATAGTAAATGAGCATGGTTGCATCTGTTGGAAACATCGCTAGTCTTCATTTATTACTGAAAAGTTTTAATTCAATTGTTTAAAAACAGGTACATAAATGAAAGAAGGAAACATTTTTGTATTTTTCAAAACATAAATCCTCCTCAAAATGTGAAATAATTATTAAAATTTAAGGAGTCACCTGTTTTTCACATTACTAGTCGCGGGCGATTTTACGTACCCAAAACGATAGATTACCGGTAACCTTATGATATCCGATATAGTAGGCTATATAGTATATAGACTATATTATAGTATAGATAGATCTAATCTAGATCTAGACTAGATCTAGTAAGCATCTGAAAGCATCTGATAGAGCCTAGGGCCTAGTCTAGTAAAAGTCTAGATCTAGTTGTAGTAAGGCTCGTTATTGACTCTACGATAAGGCACTAATGGCCAAGTTTTTCAAGATGTGATCTTTCTTTGCCTTTTTCTAATTTATAGTGAAGAGTTACACTTGCGCTACCGTAAAATCTAGAATCTAGGACTCAAGATCTAGATTTCTTTTAGGGCCTATACATTTTACAATGCCTAGATCTAGAATCTATATCTAATATCTCATCTGCTGCATCGAGATGGTCTTACAGTACACCTTAACACAGTGATTTAGCTTTTATTAATCTTATGTTGATAATGATATGTTGAAAATTGGGGTCGCCCAGACATGGCAACACACTGTGTGATGTAGGGGCGTAGCGACACATTCCGGCGCCCGGAGCGAACTATTATATCCCCCCCCCCCCCCCAAGAGATGCCTGGAAAAAACTCTGAAAACGTTGAAAACTCAAAATTTCATGTGATTTGTGTGCACAACTACAATACTTTCTCTATAATCTGTATAGGAAAAAGTAAAAATAATAGGCCTAGTTATCTAAATAGTAGTATAGTGTATTAAATTATAATATATTTAAAGAAATTCCTTTATTTTCTACTTTTTAGGGCATTATTACATAAAAGCTTGTTATCAAAACGTTTTTATTAAAATTTTACATTTAGGTGTCACATATTGCATCAAACAACACTTAAACAACTCTATAATATCTTGTAGTAGTCTTTTTCTTAAGTTTTACTGATTATCATTTAGTAATGCAATTCAGAATTGTTTTTTTTCCCCCATTTGGCGCACCCTAGAGTCCGTGCCTGGGGCGGCTATCCTACTTGCCCTCCCCTAGGGATGGATGGGGAGGGTTGTTACAAAGTGTGACGTAACATTTTTAATTGCAATTTAGAAGTAATTGTATAGTACTTTGAAAGCCTTTTAAAATTTTCAGATCTAATTTTAAAAATTGATCGAATAAATCTAGGGGTGTAGGACAAAAGGCCGACAAGACAAAAGGCCGACAACCGAAAGGCCGACATAACATAGGCCAACAGGACATATATAAGGCCGACAGCCAATAGGCAGACAGCCAAAAAGCCGACAAACCATAAGGCCGACAGACCATAAGGCCGACAAACCATAAGATCGACAAACCATAAGGTCGACAAACATAAAAAATTCTTATATCGCTGTAATAAAGTGAGATAATTGTGAGGTCAGGGGAACTCACTCTTCTGTATTAGTATTATATTTATGTTGTTGTCTTGGGTGATGTCCCTTGTGATTGTACTTCCTTCCGGCCTCCTCTCTGTGTTGAACCATTATGTAGTTAGACCATCAAATGTTATATACAACCATATGCTTCTATCGTCAATCTGTTATAATTGGCGACGAAGGATAAACATCTACTAGAAAGAGCACCTACTTACGCAAAAAAGAGGTTTGCTAGAGCTTATTAGCTAATTATTTCTAGAATTATGGCGCTGTATGGCCAAATGAAAGAATTTGATGCGAATGATGAAATCATTCAAGATTACCTAGAGAGGTTAAGCTTTTACCTAGAAGCTAACAACGTGACGATAGAAGCCAAAAAGAGAGCTGTTTTGTTAACAGTCATAGGGCCTCAACAATTTAGGCTACTACAAGACTTATGCGCACCAGCTTGTCTAAATACCAAGAGCTTTAACGAGCTGAGCAAATTGCTAACAGACCACCATGCGCCTGTACCATCAAAGTTTCTATGTCGAGCTAGATTTGACAGTAGGACTCGTCAACAAAACGAGTCAATATCAGAATATGTTGCTGCTTTACGTCATTTAAGTGACTTTTGTGAATTCGGAGACACGCTGTCT